TGGGTTTCTCTAGGCAGTCTTTGAGATCGCCAAGGCATGTACTCATGAATCTATTAGCTTACCAGATGAGGTGCAATCATTTTCTGTGAAGGTCAGATCAGAGCATCAAGCAGTTGAAAGTTTGATAGAGAAGAGAAGAGAAACCAGCGTAATGCCTGGTAATGCTCGACAGGACCCAGTTTTAGAGTTCATTTATTCATGAAGTCTTATTCACATAGTTGCTTTCTCATAACCTGTTTTGTGATTGCATCAGGTACAATGGATGTTGATCCCCAGCCTGATTTTCTGAGCTTGGAATATTGGGAGGATTTACTTTGCAATCTAAATGATATGAGAAAATACAGGAGAATAGTTGCATCTCTGTCTGGGTCTTGCTTATCAGCTGCCACCCCACTTCTCTCCTCAACCAAGGAAGCAGCATGTCTTGTGGCCCTAGACATCGTGGAGGTATTTCTTTCTGTCTGCTAATTATGCAACAGTGCATTGTGATAAAGCGCAAGTTCTAATCCCATTTCATAGGATATTTCACTTGCGGGGTCATTTATAGGTTTCTTTATTTTACCTGCTTTGCTGACCATTTTGTTTTGGCAATAGCTTTTGGCCATCTTTTGGCATCCTTCATACTGGTCTTCTGTCTGGTACAATAACTTGAGCTAGCTATTGTCTATTCTGTATCTCGAGGAATGCAAATTCTACAGTATAAAACCGGGGAGGAGGTTTCCTATAATGTGGTTGTGTACTTGTATGTCGCATATGGCTGTTTTCATTTCCTTTCGGTGTTAATAGTACTAACTAAGCTATTACATCACCCCATTTAACAGCTTTAGCAAACCTGATACCTTGCTTTACTTGGCAGCATAGCTCTTAGATATCATTCTGTTGTGACTTAATGTTGAATAAAGTAAAAATTTCAGCCATTCATTGACAAACACCGGTTACTTCATCCTGACAATTAAGTTCTCTGGCATTTCTTGTCACAGTAAAATTGTTCTTTGCCATCTGCAGAATGCTGTTGTATCTATTGCCAAGGTTGAGGACGCGTATAAGTGTGAAATTGAAATCAAAGCTGTTATCAAGGAGGCAGTTCAGCAATTGTCCTTGGATGAACTTCTTGATGATATGGACACTGCTGAAGATGTTGACGAGAATAGACTACTCCCAGCTATGAACAAACTATGGCCATACCTGGTTATCTGTCTTAAGAACAAGATCTCAATGGTGCAGTTTCTTCACATCTGATATTTTTGCATCGTGTAAATTACTGTTCTCTTGGTACTTGCTTCTTTGGTTTTCTAGAATAAATGCTTACATGAAATGTTTACCTTTTAGCTTCCTAAATTATATCACACTTCAGTGGTAATATTTCATTTCTCACCATCATGAAATCATGGTGTACTTCTACACATCATCCAATCAATGAGCCACGTATTCTGCTGACTAGAATCAGATATAGCGCGTTGTGGTTGCCCGTGTCACATCTAAGTTCAGCATCTTCTTGTACCATTTGCGTTCTTGGATCCAAAGGGCTTCCTACAGCTACTTTGGAATCCAAATATTAAGTGTGAATATGATCAAACCCAAATTTCATTCCAATATTGCACATGTTACTTGTCATCATCCAGTAACCTCTCTTCTGAAGTGACACCTACTCTTTTTGTATCCTGTTTGATGACCTGCTGTATTTTGGTTGGTCCATCTATAATCCCACTCCTCTATGAGATCAACTTTGCTTTTGAAGTAAAACTGACCACGACTATATTCTGAAGAACATGTGCCACCAGATTTTTTATCTGTGCTCCAGAGGATATGTGTTGATTCTTAATGCAGATGAATAGTTCATATTATTTACATACGTGAACAATATGGCCCGAACATCACCCCAGTTCAATGAATGATGTTGTACTTGCACCCATTTAACTTAGAGCAACATTACCTCTTTTTTTTGCCTTCATTGAATGCTAGAGTTCATCTACAATTTGGTAGTCATGGAACATATGCTCTCCAACTGACCAAAACATAAAATTCCAATTCACTGCATGAAATAATCTGCAATATTGGTTTGTACGTTTAGTACCTACTCCCTCCGTTCCTAAATATAAGTCTTTTTAGACATTTCAAATGGAATACAACATACGGATGTATGTGGACATATTTTAGAGTGTAGATCCACTCATTTTACTCCGTATGTAGTCACTTGTTGGAATCTCTAGAAAGACTTACATTTGGGAACGGAGGGAGTAGTACAGAATTTGTTGGCTTGGATATGGAATCTCTGATCACCTACTTAGATTTCAAATTTACTTTTGGCACGATAATATTGAGTCTATGAGCTGCTAGACTGGATAAATTTCAGTTACCCGTTTCTCTGTTTCCAGTCTTACTGTAAAATATGTGAGTTATATATGATATCTACTCTCACTGGAATAAGGTTTTTGCAGCCTATTGTCAGAAGATGCACAGAAGTTTTAGGCAGAACCATTCAAATATCTGGTGGTAATTTTTTTGTACGCCGGTTTCATAAGGATGGATACATTATTTGGAGGTTGCTGGCCTTGTCTCCATTCCGACGGAAAACACTGTCATCAATGGATGAAAAAGCAATTATTTTACCATATAGGAATACCTCACTTACCTCAGAGGAACCTATGGCTGAGATATCCAGCCAAAAGATTCAGATTGCAGTCTTGGACATGATCACTGAAATATCTTCCCACAAAAGGAGTGCTATTGCATTGGAAAGTGTGTTGAAGAAGATCTGTGGCCTTGTGGTAGGGATTGCTTATAGTGGTTTGATAGGTCTGCGAGAAGCTGCTATAAGGGCATTGACTGGACTTGCCTGTATGGATGCTGACCTCGTGTGGCTTCTTCTGGCAGATGTGTATCATTCACTGAACCAAAGGGATATGCCCTTACCACCTATTCAAGATCTGGTGGAGTTATGTGATCTTTTGCCCCCTCCAATGTCCTCTAGAGAGTACCTCTTTGTGCAGTATGGTGGTGAGGGTGTTAGATATGATATAGATCCTTCATCTGTGCATGAGGTGTTCAAAAGGATGCAGGACACAGTTTTCAAATGATAGCAGGCAAACCACAAAGCTTTGTCAGTTGGATTCTTGTCTTGTGAATTTACTGTTAGTGCATTTATATATTTGAAAGGTCTACCATGTATCCTAGGTGTGTTGAATCCATGGTGCGTTATCTACGCATTGGAGAGGACATTGTGTCTCTCTCATGCTGAGGTTAGTCATGAAAGTTCTCTTCGCCACTAACAGAGGTTCACCTTTTTCTCTGTAATTGCATGCAAATAAAGGTTTCTTAAATGATTAAATTTGGAAAGCACCTGGTTGAACAAGAGAACAGAAAATATCAAAGGTTAACACTCATTATGTGTCTTAGCACTATGGAAACTGTTACTTAATAAATCAGGGGGGAACTCCTTCAACTAAAATGAAGTATTATGGAAACTGTTTAAGAGCTAGATTATATTTTCCGATGTGTTTTCACTCGAATTTGGAGTCACAGATTGGTGCTTAGTGAAATAGTTCCATCGCTACTTCCAAACATCTTATACTTCTGCTGCTGGACTGCTGGCACTTGTGGTTTCTTGCTAAACATGAACACATCAATGTTAGAGGAATAACACACCTAAAAGTTGTTGGGAGAAAGAGGATATATTTATATAACATAATTCCATGTTATTTTCCCCATATCTGAATGGTACCCGTTAAGGTTAGTCACAGGCACGCTTATCATGTTGGAGATGGTATGCTTTCTATATAATTGAATCTACAGTGTTGATGTTATGTTTTCCGGTGATCTAGACATGAACAACAGAAATGAATTATGGATGGCCACTTCCCTCACAGTATATGCGTTTGAGCCAGTGCATCTGTACGTGATGGGTAACCTTGTTTTTAATGCAGAAACCATGATGATGAAGAGTGAACTCAACTACAAGGAAACTTTCTTGTTGTGTAAGCAGACGAAAAATGTGATCTGAGTTATGTATGCGATGTGGGCTGCCGTTTTTGTATCTTCAAGTCAACCGATAAAAGGAGGCAACCACTTGAGGACTTGGAATTGTTGTACCATAACAACAGTACAAGGCGACGCCATTTTCGTCCACAGTTTTTTTCACAGGGAAATGCCTCTGCTCTGTAATTATCTAGTCTACTAGAGAGAAAAGGTGGAGATTACAGGCTTCTGTTTTTTTTAGAATGTTCTCTAGGAGATGGTTATATCTGCCTGATACACATCTTATTTGCTGAGAAGCGTTGTGTTGCTGCCATATTCTCAGTTCTGTATTTGAAGCATGACAGGTGTCAGTTAATGTAGATGTACTGCCATTTTCTCAGTTCTGTATTTGAAGCGTGACTGGTCTCAATTGTTAATGTAGATGTACCTTAAGCAAGCTCTCGTATGGAAGGAGCAGTTGATCGCTTGAGTTTGATTCCCTTGCATTTTTGTAATGAAATTCTGGTTCCAAGCACAGCCCAGAGTTGTGTGAAATGTATCTAGCGATGCAAATTTGTGAACCTCAGGTACCCTCCCATATTCCTTAGTTAAATCAAATGAACTAAATTTTCAAAAATCATGTCTTCTGAAAATTTAGTTTGATTGAACTATAGAGGATCAGAGGGATCCTGTTTGAACCCGGACTCAGAAGCAATAATTGAATTCAGAGTTATCTGGCATGCAATCCATGTCATGGTGCTCAGGTAATTTTGGTTTAGTCGCCTGAGCTACGGAGCTGAAAATACTCTTACGATAAAGTAATGTGTACATTCCTTTTTAATAACACAAAAAATGTACACTAGTTACCAAGGAGCAAAAAGTGTATGGAGACGCCATACTGACAATATTTAGTTGATTCTGCCAGACTCTAGAAAACCACCAGAAAATTGTGTATCAAAGAGGGGGAAGAATGCTCCGTTGTAGGCTTGTAGCTCTGGTTTTCAACCTTGCAGATATGAATATTGACACCTATTACACATGTACAGTTAATCTAGTAAAGGGCTCCCCTCTTTGGCAAGAATAAACACGCCGCCTCCATCGCCTTTTGAAATCCTCAAGTCTTTGTCCAGGTAGGTTGTCAAAAGCCACGACTTGGCCTTGTTGTCGCCAGGAATCGGTACCTTGAGGGGTGGTTGCCCAGAGATGGACCCTGCAATGCTAGCAAATGCTCGCTGCAAAGGCTCCAGCAGCTCCTTAACAGGCCCTAGGCTGAACTTCTGTCCGAATATGGCGATCTGTTCAGGTAGATTTACCGATGATGATATCTCAGGAGGCTGGAAGCTCCCCTCTTTGAATTGGACCTTCATGAGAACAAGTAATGTGTCAGTTTGGCATATGTATGTTATCAAGGACGGCTTACACACATGGTAAAGGGCAACTTGTATTCTTGTAACTGATGAAACATCCAAGAAATCTTTTAATAACCATGATGTGCACCTCAAATATTTGGTACGAGAGATTTGCTTATCATCCTATATGCACAGTAACTAGGAGAACGACAGGTAGGTGGCAATACCGGTATCAAATGTGTCTGTTGAATGCTTGAGTTGAAGGCTTGCAGCCATGCTAGACTATATATCTCAGTCTAGCGCAACACAAAGGGGTCTCTCCCTAATTTACTAATTTGCATCCCATATTTCTTAAAAATAGCAAGTAGATGTAACTAGCGAAATGGTTTGACGAAGGGGCTATCTGGATTTCATAATACAAAGTGTTCTAAAATAACATTGATGAGAAGCAAATGTAACTAGCGAAATGATACAAAATGTTCTATTTGTAATTGAAGAAGCAAATTAACTCTTCCACATGACATGTCTGGAAAGCTGAAATAACCAATGCAGTATAAGCTGAGACTAGCATAACATTGACGAGAACCAGGTCTGTACCTCTATCCTTGATGGAGTTTGGACTTCAAAAGAAGCAGTTGCGCTGAATGAAAAGGAAGCAAATGGAGTCGAAATAGTTGAAGCATTAATTATTGTCATGCTTCTCGAGTCGATTTCTTGGGATATCTTATCAACTCTGGTGAATGGTGTTGCCCCGGCAAGCAGAATCGGTAGAAGCTCAGAATATGCTGTATACCTGAAAGTTGACGACCATGCACAATTAAGTAGGTACAAGTAACTGACTGGACCCCCTCAGTGCTAATGAGAATTCTTAGGCCTCCTTTGGTTTGGAGGAATTTCATAGGAATTCTAGAGGATAGGATTTTTTCCTTTAGAGCCCTTTGGTTCATAGGAATAGATTCCTATTCCTACATAGGATTGGTTCCTAGCCTCCACATTTCGTAGGAAAATAAAAATCAGCCTAGACTCAATGGAAAAATTCCTTTGGTGTCAACCAAATGACGTCTCGTTTTCTATTCCTACTCGTAGGATTTGAGATACATGCCATCTCATTTCCTATAAAATTCCTATTCCTACGATAATCCTATCCTATGAACCAAAAGAGGCCTAAGAAGTTGATTGCTTACACAGTTTGGCCTCCTTTGGCTTATAGGATTTTTGTAGGAATGTATAGGATAGGGGTTTTAAAGGAAAAATTCCTTTGGAGCTCTTTGGTTTGTAGGAATGGATTCATTCCTATGTAGGATAGGAACCAATCCTTCAGATTTCAAAGAAAAGTGACATTATCCTGACTCAATGGAACAATTTCTATCCTATGCTTCAAATGACATCTCTTTCCCTATATGAATTGGGATACATGTCATCTCACTTCCTATTATTTTCCTATTCCTATGACATTCCTATCCTATTAACCAAAGGAGCCCTCAACTTAGAACACCCTTTGGTCAGAAGAACAACGGCAACAGCACGCAATCATTCAGTGGCTAAAATTCAAATAAAGCATTCCACTGACGTATCGAACTGACGATCGAAGTAGTGAGTACTAGCAAGTACAGATTGAGAGCAAGAAGTGGGAAGGCTCACAGGAGTATCCAGTTTCCGTCGAGCTCTGGCGCCTGGACGGGCGCGGACGTGGGATTGGCAGCCTCGAGCTGGGCCACGAGCTCCACGACCTCCCCCCTGACCTCCGAGGACGCCTTGAGGCCCAGGCCGGAGCCGTACACCGTGTCCACCAAGCACCGCTTCAGCTCCTCCCGCCCCTCGTCCTCCTTCGTAACCGGAGCCTCCTTCGCCTTGGGCGGCGTCGGCGTGGGCTCCCCGCCCCACTCGTCGTCGTTGGTAGGGGTGTCGGCGCCGGAGGGCTGCTCAGGCTCGGCCACCCCCGGCTCGCCCCACTCGTCGGTGACGCCGGGGCGCGAGCAACCCGGCGCGGAAGCGGGCGGCTCGCGGCCCCACTCGTCGTCGTCGACTGTAGGGTCGGGGATCTCGGCGTCGAGTGGGCTGCCTCCCGCGGCGGTGCGTACGGGGAGGCGGAGGCGGCGGGGCCGCCTGACTCGGAGGCCACCGACGCGCAGACGCGCGGCGGCGGCGGGGTTGGGGGAGAGGAGTAGGAGGGACGCGTGGGATGCGTGGCAGGAGGCGAAGAGGGGAGCCATGGATGAATGAATGAATGATTCCACTCCTCTTCTGTTGGCCTCTAGTCACTTGTGTGGGCGGGCGGGGAGGGGAGAGCCCAAACAGCGATTTTCTTTCTTTTACGAAATCACCGCAGGAAAACCCTTAAAAATCGAGCTGTTTTTCTATTTGGTTTTTTCTCCATGAAATACGCACGAGTCATATAATACTCCTATATAAAGGATGTCGTAGTATCACCTTTCTGGGCTCGTCGAGGGCGAAGAGAGTCTCCTAGTCGTGCGTTGCCCGTTCGCTTGGGGAGGAGGCTCTCGGGGCGGGGCAAAGGATGGTGGAGTATCCGCCTTCCTATGCTCGTCGAGGGTGAAGATAGTCTCCTAACTGTCCATTGTCGGTTGGCTTGCGGCAGGAGACTCTCGGGGGCGAGGCGAGCCGTCCGATCAACCAGGACGGCTCAATGACTGGTGGATCCTTGGCGTACGAATCGCTATAGTCGGTGCGCGTCCATCATGAGTGGCCCGAGGATGCGCAATCGCTGCAGTTGGGCGAAGAGAGCTTCCCATCTGTCTGTTGCCGGGTGGCTTGCGGCGGGAGGCTCTTGGTGGCGAGGTGTGCTGTACGATCTGCCCGGACGGCTCGTCCCCGGGCAAACCGGCTAGAAGGTCGATGACGGGTGGACCGAAGGCGCGTGATCGCTACAGTCAGCGCATATTGTGACGCTCGGATAATTAAGCTACAGTAACCCTCTACTGATGATGCCACATCACCACGGTTACTGTTGATAAACTTATGTTGATTCAAGGGACATTTACATCTATGCCCCTAATTTGCGCCCACTCTTATATTTACCCCTAATTTCAAAGCCTGCTCAAATTTGCCCCTCCGCTGTTAGGTGCACTTACAGAAATACCCTTCTATGCCGTTACCGTCCGGTCAAAGCAGGTCAAAGCCGGTTAAAGGGCTTTGACCGTCCTAAAAAAATAGCAAAAAAATTCAAAAAAATCTGAAAATTTGTGGGATCAAAGATACTCAGGCTCGCAAGGTGCGTGCAAAGTTTCATGTTCTTTGTACATTCTAGGAGCTCGTGTCAGAGGAAAAACAATAAATATGTAAGTATGTGAACAGTAAATTCAAAAAAATAGCAAGAAAATTCAAAAAATATGAAATTTTTTAGCATCAAAGAGGCTCGGGTCTGCAAGTTGCGTGCAAATTTTTGTTGTGTTTGGACATTGGAGGGGTTTGTGGAGAAAAAAAACAAAATTTGGCTCAGGAAAAAACTTAAGAAAAAATGACTATTTTGTTTTTTCTTGCTAGAGCTCCTCGCATGTCATTTGATCACAAAAACTTGCAAGCACCTTGTGCACCCAAGCCACTTTGATGCCAAAAAAATTCATATTTTTTAAATTTTCTTGCTATTTTATTTCAAATTTATTGTTCACAAGCGTGCAGATTAACTGTTTTTCCTCGCCACGAGCTCCTGAAATGTCCAAATAGCACAAAAATTTGCACACACCTTGGGCACATGAGTATCTTCGATCTCACAAAATTTTAGATTTTTTAGATTTTTTTGCTATTTTTTTCAGGACGGTCAAAGCTGTTTGACCGGACGGTAACGACACAGAAGGGCATTTCTATAAGGACACCTAACGGCGGAGGAGCAAATTTGAGCAGGCTTTCGAATTAGGGGTATATCTGATTAGGTGGTTCGAGTTAGGGACATAAATGCAAATGGCCCTTGATTCAAACCCCGTTCAAATTCAAATTTTAAAATTGGGTCAAACAATGAAAGTTTTCCAACATAAAAACTACCTCTTTTGGATTCCCAAGTGCCCCTGAAAATTTATTTAGTGGTCCAGCAACAATTAAAATTGGCCTTTCCAATTTCTAAAAATGGTTAGACAATTTCTTTTAGCCTCAAACTTTTTGTGACTCCTAAAAATAATGTACTTAATTTATGTGAGAAGTCTCATATCTAACAAAACTCATTTAGTCTTACTTTTAAAATAAAAAAAAACAGAAGGAGAAAAAGAAAAGGGGCAAAGTGCTCTGTGCACTTAGGCCTGCCAACAAAGTGGCCGACCCAGCCTGCTAACCGGGTCACCACCTACCTCCTGTTCACAGGGGCGCGGTGGACGCCCGTCCGTCGTCCACAATTCGGATAGGCCACGGGCAACCATCCGGTGGCTCCACGGCGACCTCAAGTCCCCGACGATGCCCCTGACCGAACCCTAACCCTAGATGCCCCTCAGTTTCTCCCCTCTCTCGTTCTCCTCCCCACAGACCACACACGAGCCGCGCTGCCATGAACGATCTCGCCCACGCTGCCACCGTGCCCTCCTCGCCGTCCGCCCGTGCCCAAGTGGATCATCGTCGTCCTCTGCGTCATATATGCGCCACCGTTCGCGCTCGAAGGCTCGGGATCGCCGTCGACGCCGTATTCCTCATCTCTCGATCGCCGACCTCTGCCGCCTCGATTCACTGCACCGAGACCTCCCCGAGCACGCTGCCGCCCCCCTACAGCCTCGCCGTGAGCTTTTCCTCCTCCCCCCTCTCCATTTGCTCTCGCGCGCCTCCTAGCTAGCTCGCGCGCCGTCGCCTGAGCGCATTGCCGTCGACGAGCTCGTCGCCGTGGCCATGGTCGCCGTCACATGCAGCCGAGTGCCGCATCATGCTCCTGGGGTTCCCAAGGGACCAACGTGCGCGGGGAGGGCTGAAAGGCAAATAAGCTCGATCCCAAAATAACCCCCCGATAATGGAGTATGCGGGAGCTCGCGGGGAGGGCTGAAAGGCAAATAACAAAATAACTTACACAATGGAAGCAAGTGGACCGAAGATAAACAGTAAGTTTCTGAATACTTATGATTCGGCCAGGGTTTCACCCTGAGAGGTTTCTTGGGGACTAGTTTGGACTCTGAGTCTGAACTGTCTGAGAGGCCAGCTTCCCTCTCTTGGGCGCCTCCCCCTCCGGGTCTTCGGAGGTTGCCCTCTTCTTCCTCCCCTTACGAGGGGAGTCGCTCTCCTCCTCTTCTTCCTCATCTCCCTCATGGGAAGAAAGGGCTTCGGTCTCTCCGAACACTGTTTCCGATGGACCTTTGTGGTGGGGGCCTCCCTTGGCCTCCTTGCCCTTCTTCTTCTTGGTTTTCTTCTCCGTCGCCTGATAGGGCGCCGAGACCAGCATCTCTGTCAGTTGGGGTGTGGTCAGGTTCTCAGGCAGCGGTGCCGGATAGTTGACCCACTCCGCCTTTGTCGTCCAGCCCTATACAGAAAATAGGCAATATAACCTTTATTATATTTGAAATATTGACCGGATAGATCTTCAGAAAGTTTATGCTTACCGCCATGGCCGGGTTCTCGATGTCGAGCCCGATGTCTTCAGTTTTCTTCGGCCACTTTTTCTGAGCCTTGAAGAGATGCTTCCATATATCTTCGCGCATGGTGCCGAAGAAGCGCTTCAGGGTCTGCGGCTCCTCCGAATTGAACCCCACATGGGGGAGGCCCGGAGTTGGCAGGGAAGGGTGTGGCGAAAGAGCATCACTTGAATCACATTTGTGAGACCGGTGTTTTTGCCCAACATATTGGAGATGCGTTTCTGTAGCATCTGCACCTCCGGTTTGGACCCCCAATCAAGGCCCTTGGCGGTCCATGAGGTTAGTGTCGGTGTCAAAACCGGCAGATCTCGGGTAGGGGGTCCTGAAATGTGCATCTAAGGTCGATGGTAACATGATACATGGGACACAATGTTTACCCAGATTCGGGCCCTCTCTATGGAGGTAATACCCTACTTCCTGCTTGATTGATCTTGATGAATAAGAGTATTACAAGAGTTGATCTACCACGAGATCATAATGGCTAAACCCTAAAGTCTAGCCTGTCTGACTATGATTATGAGGATATATGTCTACGGATCTAGCCCTCCGGTTTATATAGACACCGGAGGGATCTAGGGTTACATAAGGTCGGTTACAGAGAAAGGAATCTTCATATTCGGTTGCCAAGCTTGCCTTCCACGTCAAGGAGAGTCCCATCCGGACACGAGTAGAGTCTTCGGTCTTTGTATCTTCATAGCCCATCAGTCCGGCCCATGTCTAATAGGTCAGACGCCCGAGGACCCCTTAGTCCAGGACTCCCTCAGTAGCCCCTGAACCAGGCTTCAATGACGAGGTGTCCAACGCGCAGACTATCTTTGACATTGCAAGGCGGGTTCCCCTTTCCAAATACTCCAAGATAGTCTTCGGACGTGACGAACATGTCCGGATCTGCAACACAAGTTCCACGCACAACCGCAGAGAGTATAATATATCACGAGTCCAATTCGCTGACATCTTTTGGTAATGTGACATCACATTTGCCCTATCACTATTTTGAACCGTTTCTTGTCCTGCCGTTACATGTTTTGAGGCGTGGTTTTTATTGGCACATCTTGTCGAAACAGAGATCGTGTCTCCTTATTGCGGGATTCTCATCAATACGTGCGTGGTAACCCAACCGTTCCATTGGAATGATCCCTTCGGAATAGGCAGGTTTTCAGGCTTAGGAGGAGGCGCTCGATATCCATTGCCTTTATAAAGGGGCCAAGGGCCGTCTTATTTTGCACCGACCCTTTCCTCAGCCCTTCCAACTTCGAGTTCTAGCACCTGAGGTTCGTCTTCATTGCTTCAAGCTACCCAATCATGTCCGGACCCAGCCCACAGGGCCGATGGGTGGCTTCCTCTGTTACAGAGGAGGACATTGCGAAGCTTCGTGCAGCCAGATACCTGACCGCGGAGATCCCCCACAGGCTTCCTGCTCGAGGACAGGTTATTACTACTCCCAGATCCGGTGAGAGGGTCGTATTCATCTCCCACTTCCTGCGAGGGCTAGGATTCACTCTTCATCCCTTCGTCCGGGGGCTCATGTTTTACTACGGACTAGATTTTCACGATCTAGCCCCATATTCTTTCCTCCACATCTCAATGTTCATTATTACGTGCGAGGCCTTTCTCCGTATTCCCCCACATTTCGGCTTATGGTTCAAGACCTTTAG